ATCGGTGACGAGGTCGTCACGTAATTGGGTGGAGGAGAATGTCACGGACAAATAGTCCCATATCGGCTAGCTGTAGGGCCCAAAAACAGTATTTAAGTCTTGGGCTGCCCACCACCCACAAGGGCTCTTTTGGGAGGTGACAATACGCCTTTCATGACTTCTAAACAGTTAACTGATAAATCTTATTTAAGTGTGATCTTTCTGATGATTTGGTTAAACCTATAAAAAAATTGGACTATATAAGAACAGCTAACGTCAGCACTGTTGAAAACAATGCTGCAAATAATACAGGAAAGCAAGAAGATTAAAAGCCAGGAAGTCAAATAACATAAGCTAAAATATAAGCATAAATTAAGCCTTCAATTGAGTACATAATTCCATAAAATAAACAGTTTAGAGAGTTAACCTATACTGCAGAAACATTACAATAAAGAACCAGTGAAGGAGGTAGATAACAGTGACTAAAAAACATGTGGAACCATCTTAAGAAATCAAAATTTCTGCATGAACATGAATTTAAAGCCTTTTAGTATAGCTTGTTCTAAAAATGCAACATTTTTCTTCCCTGTAGCAGCTACAGTGTCTACAGTAAGTTTAACTGCTGCAAGCAAACCATGGAAAATTTCCACAACAATTCCACAGTTGGTTCTTCCATTCCTAAAAAAGTTTCACATTTTTAACAGACGATCAATGAGCGAATTACATGACACGTTGATAAACTGATCAAATAAGAGTCCCACAAACGGTTTATCATCATGAAATTTAAATACGGCTTAAATGAGTAGATTACCCTACTCCACAATAATTTACAGAAAATTCAACATGGAAACATAACCAAATTACATGCCTGCAATAAATGCTTGAGCTCTTCAGGACTTCCAAACCGAAACTGAAGCTAATTCCCCTCTTTTCCAATGCAAGTAAAGCGAAGCCTGGCGCTTCTCCACATGGAATCCTTTGACTTGTAATCTCTTTAAGAGGCATTCTGCCTGCATCTCCGTGAAGCTGCTGAACTGCACTGGCTTGAAGCCAGCTGATTCAAACTGTGTTGGCCAAGGAAGGATCTTTTCAGCGGCACAATGATGTCGATTTATGCAATTCTCAATCTTAGGTTGCAGAACAAACTTCTCTATCTTGTTGACCACATCAAGATCGATACCAGCTGCATCAATGGAATCAAGGAAAATCGCACAGGACTGCAATGCATGGAGGAAGTGATGGGAGAAGGGCAAGTCATTCCGACCAAATCCATGATCGACAGAAATGACAATTTTGGGCAGCAACTGCTTCACAAGACGAAGAAGAGTTGGAAAGGAAGGACCTTGCCAAGCATCTACCGGGAGGTTTACAGCAATGGACTCATTGGTGCCAGCAGAGAGGGCGAGGATCTCAGCTGGATCAAAGGCTTCAATGTTTGTGAACCTGATTTCGAATGGAATGTTGAGGTCTGCTGCAAAACGACAGAGATTTTCTCTGGTGAGATGAAGTTCGAGAGGGTGGAAGGCAGAGGGGGACACTAAGGCGGTAATTTTGAGCAGCAGGATCCTCGGAGATCGCCGCTGAGCTAGCTCCTGCAAGAAAGAGGACCATTGTCCGCCGAAGCTAATGTCAAAGTCAATTATGTGAATGCAGTTGGCGGTTCCGAGCTCCTCAAGAAGAGCTTGAGTGGCTGTGAAGCAGGTGAATTGGGGGATTGGCGAAACCTCGGAGAAGGCCTTGTAGGCACTGAGCTTAATAACTGCATCTAATGGAGAAAAGGTTGCTGCCTGTGGATTCACAGAGTTGACAAAGAATTGTAGAGCCTCCTTGAAGTAGAAAGCAGAGCGAAAGAGGGGTTTACCAATTGGGGAGGGGAGATGGTGATTGAGCCGTGCCAATATCACATGAGCACCAACGAAGTTCCCTGCCTCGACGAGCTCAGCCGCCTTGTAAAGCACGTCGACAACGACTTGTTGCTGCTGCTGCTGGGGGTAAGGGAAGACTTGGAGCTGGGGAAAGTTTAAGCTTTGTTCAAGAAGCTGAGAGGGAGTAAAAGATGGACAGGGAGCAAAAATGGCTGGATTAGTAGAATCTTCGCTTAGCAGGTGTTGGTTGAATGGGATATCTGGGCAAAAAAACTGTGATTTTTCAACGACGGGTTCCTCGAAGAACATCGACGGAGCCAAGGAGAGTGGTGGCAGTGATGTAACACCGGTCTCAACCGGCGAAAAGCTGGGGTTTTTAACGCAGGGAGGCTGTACTGGCTGGGAGGGAGAGCGGGTCTTGTTGCCCTCACTTCTTGTTGCCATCACTGCTGGCTTGGGAGACCCCGCCAGCGGAAGCAAGAGAAGCGAAGTTGATGGGTGCAAACCCGAAGACAGGATCGATAAGCCCGAAGCTCTGGTCATCAAGTTGGCCCGTGATCAAGCGGAGAAAGGTCTGTTCTTGGGCCGAAGAAGCAGCGGGCTCTGAAATCATCGTTTTCCAATCGTCCGGGGAATCGGTAGCGGCGGCGGAGGTAGAGTTCCAAAAGGGACATTTGAGGGCGGCGTTATCGGAAACGACAGCCGCACCTGCGCTGTCAGTTGAGCCCGCACCTCCGCCGCCTAGGGAAGAAAGGGTAGACGAGGAGGAATGAGGGCTTGGGCTCCTTGTCAGATTCAGAGCGGACCAGGGCTCCAAGAATCCACCTTTCTTAGTCTTACAACCAGCGGGGACAGATAATCGGAGAGATTGCATCGCCAGCGAACTTCTTCAATAACCTTTGCTTGGAATAGAAGAACAAGAAGACGCATTTCTCATTGTGGCGTTCTCGTCGTCCACTCTTTTGCTCGCATCACCGCTCTTCATCTTCTCTTCATCTTCTCCAACTCCCGCGCTACCCGCTACACACTCTCTGGGGGAATTTTCTTTTATTTTTTTATTTTTTTTATTTGTATAGAAAAATAAAAAAAATATATTTTTTAAAAAAAGTCTTTAGCTGAGTGAGACAATGGCGACCAAAGAATGGTTGATGATTACAATGATGTAATGTATGAGTTATAATTGTTTTTATAAATATTAGTAAATGTAAAGATAATTTTACATTTAAAATCCATCAATTAAAACAAACGACATATCGTATAAATCATATACTTTTTAAACTTATTGCCTACCAACAAATAAAAAACAATAAATTTATATATTTTATTTTACTATACCAACTTGTTCATGGTTTAATAAAAATAGCACGGAGTCATTATGCCCTTTGATATTTGTGTGGTAGTTTTAGGGGTCTGAGTGAATCAAGCCGACTTGTCATCCGGCTCGAGCTCAGCTTGATAAGTGGCTTGTGAAGTGAGTTCGATGAGCTAACAAACCAAACCAATATCAAGCTAATCCTGACTCTGCTCGTTAGCTCGTGAGTCAGCTAATTCAAAAAAAAAATATTTGTATAAAATATACCCAAAATATATTAAATTCAAAAGTTTTATCTTTAAATATTTAAAAAATATTATTTTATATTCATAATGTCTTATTATTTCCCTCCTAATTGTTCATTCTTTTTATCATTTTATTATAACACTATATTAAATTAATATTTCTCGCTTTTATAATAAACAAGCTGACTCGAACTCGTAAAAGTATGCTCGAGCTTGAGCTCGAACTCGATTAAATATATCAAGCTAAGTTTCAAGCTGAGAGTGGCTCTAGCTTGACTAAATATGTTTACACCGCTAGGCAATATCATGAATTGAACTACTTTACTAATTTCGTAAGAGTAAATGTCAAAATAATCCCCAATTAATTTAAAATTAACTCTAATAAGGACTCTTACAACTCTAATTTAAATAGTCTCGAGATTATTTTGACATTTTTATAAACTCTAAGACTAAAATAATCTCGTGTGAATTTACCTAATTTGACACTTTGCTCAATTTCTTAAATAATAAAATTAAAATATTAGATAAAAATGGCAAATAAATAATATAATATCTTAAGGTAATTTTAAAGTCCAATCAATGTCAATGCTTTAAATTGGTCGGCTGATGAGCCAATGACTGGATTTTGGGGTTTCTTAATCTAATTGTCAAATCAAAAGGTTGATCAATTGAATCAGTCCAACGAACCCCGTCATTAAAATACATTATGAATAATCTATTCCACCTTCAAATATAGTTTAATAAGTATTAAATAGTTGTATAATCATCATTACCTAAAAATCTAAAAATTATATATGAAAATCTTTCTAGCAGATCGGCAAAAATCTCACAAAAAGAGACTGGTTAGATCAGAAAAAAAACTTATTAAATCGCATTGGATTGATCTGTTTTTTAAATCTGGCTGACACAGATCTCAATGCTCTTTTTTTAGCAAGAAACATTCAAATTTTGATAAAAAGTCATCGGTTCAATGAGACGGATCCAGTGATATCAAAGTTGGTCCAATTCGAGTTAAATCAAGCTCAGATCAAATCATCAAACCACACTTGGTAGTTTTTTCAACATATTTGGAAGGTTAAACAAACTTGAATCTTGCAAGTTCACAATCGAACTGAGCATCTCGGCGAAGCAAATTTAACGAGCCTAAGATCGCTCAATTTTGACATCGTTAAGACACTCAAATGTCCATAAATGTCGTATGATCAAAGTAAGGTATTCAGACCGTCAATCAAAGTTCATATTCTTGCATTAATTGCATAAGAAAAAACTATATAAATAGAGTCACACCCCTCTCATAAGAGGGAGCAAGAGCTTGAGAATTGAGAAAAAACTTGAAGCTTTGAGAAAGAGCTAAAGTTTGACATCTTTCCTGTCATCGTCAATCACCGCCGACCGCCGTCCACCACCGCTAACCCCGTCGACCACCACCTGCAACTGTTGTCGATTACTATTAATCGGCGCACGTTCCTTGCAATAAGTTCATCTGCATGTCAACATCGTAATTTGGGAGACTTTGTAACATTTTCTCGCTTGTATGACAAAGATTTCTACAATCATGAACTTACAGTAGATTCTACAATTGGGCCAGACACTGTGAATTTTTCTCTTTACGGGTTTTCCGTGTAAGAACTTCTGGTGTCTCTACTGATTGTTTTCTTTTATCTGAGTGTATGTTAAATCTTCGTACAACGCTAAGACGATAATTCATTACTCTACAGTGATTCTTCTAGCACGCATCAATTTGGCGTCGTCTCTACGAAAGGAAGCACCGTTCGACACTTTTTTCAACTCTGAGATGTTGAGCCACCACTTCCTTCGTCAATAATATACATCACTCACATTGAAAGAATGGATTTTAGGGATATGTTAGATAATTGAAAACTAATTAAGAATTAAAACGTTTGAAAATGATTGCATAGTAAAATCGCATTCATTTGTCACTAAAAGAATTCATAGGTGGATCACTCTTCTTATGAAGATGATCCAGTTAAAAAGTTTAGTAATTAAATTAAAGATTATTTATAGTGCAATTTCAATGAGTTTATAATTAAATTGAATATTTTGACAAGATAAATTAGACGCAAAAGTGATTTGATTCCACTAAAAAAAAGCTCAAACCAAGTACATAAAGAATAATTGTAAGTTTAGAGATATTAATTAGATGATCAAGTTTTCTCTCAAGCTCGTATATTTAAAGTCAAATTAAACGTCGAGATAGAATATTTCAAATAGCCCAATAGTTACAAGCTGTTTTCCCCATTTGGCATGGACTAAAAATGACTCCCATGCCATTTTCGGTGAAAAACTAGGCAAGAGGAGGGTGGATCACCGGTCATGGCCGCCTCGTCGACGGGAATCTAGGGATCGGAGGTAAAAATCTCGAATTGAGTTCCAGCGACGTGGCCACGCCGAGCTCGGGCGTGGTGACAACACTATTCATGGTGTCGCGAATTGGGGGCCAGTGTGACCACTCCCAAAGCCCAGTGTAATTATGTCGGGTGCTCTGTCTGGTGGCGCGGCGATGCCGCCTTCAGGCGTGGTCACACCGCTCGAGGGACTTGAGCACCTCTTTAGATTTGGGCATGGCGATGCTCGAGACCCTGCATAATTACGTGGGGCTCTACGTTCGGTCGGCGTGGTTATGCCGAATTCAGGCGTAGTCACGTCGGCAACAGGCAATTTGGGCTATTTATAGAGACCTTGGCATGGTCACACCCAGTTTAGGTGTGTTTACACCATGGATTGGGTGTGGCCACCCCTAAATCAAGCGTGGTCACGCTGGACCCCATAAAACTTGGGCTTCCAGAAAAACTTGCCCAGAGGGTTTCGGGCCTCGTGGGACCTCTGGAGAGTAGAATATGAGCAGTTATGATCTTGGGACCTCCATAAGAGTCATAAATGCGTCTCAAAAGAGCTCAAGAAGGTGATTGGTACACGCATCACTGAGCACTATCGTTTTATTTGTGAAATTCATCTGTATGGATCTCAAGCTTAAGACACATACATGTATATAGCGACCTTCATGTCGCAGGAATATCTATATTAGCTAGATATAGCCACGTGAAATAGGAACAAACATCAACACAAAGGATACCAGAGGCAATGCTAGTTTGACCACAATCGATTCGAAGCACGAAAATGATGGTGTAGAACCCAACTATAGTATCTTGTCACTCAACGAGAATGTTCTTTGTATGTTGCATCAAAAAATACATGTCAACAGATGTTGAGTGGCCGGGTGGTTGGAGGTGGCCAACGGAGAGGGTCGGCTTACTGGAGTGGGCCGACCCACTAGTGGTGGTAGGCCAAGAAGGGCCGAGTAATTGGAAGGGGGGCCGGCCAAGAGAGTTTGCTTCCTGGTGGTGGTCAGTAGGAACTTCCAGTCGACTGGTTGAGTTCCAAGTAGCCGGCCGTGTGCGGCCAGTTGACAAGAGGGTGTTCTTCCTGTGCTTTTCCGATGACACTTTGTTCGGTTCGGCGAGGTGGCATTTTCCTCTTATACAACTGTGAACCTCCTTTGCATTGCAGTGCACGTGGATGCCTAGAAGTGAGAGATTTGTTAAAGGTGGAGCCCTATTTAAATAAAAAAA